TGGGTATGTTTGTGAGCAAATCACTAGAAAGGGATTAGGCAAACGGAAATCAGTTATAAAGCAAACACAAGAAAAGTACTCAGCAGAGCTGCTTTCCCTCTTGTACCATTCTGAAAAGTGTTGATCTCCCATTGTCTTCTGTGTGCTGCCACATGGCACAGGCTGATAATAGAGAAAACGTCTGTTTTCCCAGTCACCCTGTTAATAAGCAGTGATGGGAGAGGAAATGGGGATGAAAATATGACAGCTTGATGATGCTTCTGCGACATGGTTTGCTGGGGTGTGGAAGGGCCTCTCCGAGGGCCTGTCAGCAAGTGAATGAGGCCAGTTTTCAAAACGGAGGCTACAGCTSTGGGACAGGTCATCTGTCAACATCTCTAGCCATTTGGAGCCACTGATCTCCAGGGTTACTGCAGGATGAAGCCACAGGAGTTAGTGGAGCAGTACTGAGGATCTTATATAAATACCTGGTCGTTGTTTTTATTGTAGTATATGATATAACTCCAATATCAATTGAGGAGAAAGCAAGAATAATAGACCATAGAATCATAGCTCATAGGGTGATCCTGCCCCTCTACTCAGCTCTGGTGAGGACGCACCTGGAGTTCTCGGGGCAGTTCTGGGCTCCCCAGAGGGATGTGGAGCTTCTAGAGAGGGTCCAAAATAGAGTGATAAAGATGATTAAGGAATTGGAGTATCTATTGTATGAGGAAAGGTTAAGTGAGCTGGGCCTGTTTAGCCTGGAGAAGATAAGATTGAGATGAGATCTGCTCAATATGTATAAGTACCTGAGGGCAGAATGTAGGGATGAGGGGGCTAAACTCTTCTTGGTGGTGGCCAGTGATAGGACAAGGGATAACGGGTAGAAGTTAAAACACAGGCAGTTCCATCTGCATGTGAGGAAGAACTTCTTTCCTGTGAGGGTGCCAGAGCCCTGGAACAGGCTGCCCTGGGAGGCTGTGGAGTCTCCTTCTCTGGAGATCTTCCAAACACGCCCAGCTGCCACCCTGTGCCCCGTGCTCTGGGTGTCACTGCTGGAGCAGGGGGGCTGGACTACRTGATCTCTAGAGGTTCCTTCCAACCTCAACCATTCTGTGATTCTGTGATAGAAACATTAAGGTTGGAAAGGATTTTTAGAGATCATCTATTCCAAAACCCCTGCGTACGCAGGGTCAACTAGAACATATTAGACAGGATTGCATCCAGGCGGATTTTGAATATCTCCAGAAAAGGAGATTCCACAACCTCTCTTGGTCATTTGTGCCAGTGTTCTATCACCCTTACTGTCAAGAATTTTTTCCTTAAGTTCCTGTGGAACTTTTGGAAGGAAGAAAACTGTGGTGGGTGGTTTGCTTTGAAAGAGAGTCTGGGATTTAAAGAACATTGCTACTCTAAAGACTAGGGCTCATCATAGTGTTGGACTGGACGCTCTGCAGTGCATGGAGGATATGTGAGCACAACAGCATCTCTCCTGGCTCTTTTCATTTCAAAATTCCTTTGCTCCTATATGTAAGCCCTAGAAATTCTAAGGGATTTTCTAATATGATCTTTGAACATTTTAGGTGAGTATCTATAATACAAAAAGATATACTAATTCAAGAATAAAACTGGCTGGCTTGCTTTTTACCCCTTTAAATGGGGAAAGGGAAAATATGATAATTGTTCTTTTCCATCACAAATTGTATTATTCATTGTGAGAAAACTGCAGTTTGCCAGTTTTCTTCATTCTGTCATAATCCAAGCTCAATGGGCCAAATTTTGAATGTGGTTCCCTCCCAAGAAGAGCAAAATACAGTATTCGAAACTCTCATTAGGAAGTCATTTTATGTATGTTATGTGAAAGAGTAATGAATGGAGGTTTATGCACCATGAAAATGCAGCTATTTCATTCAGACATTCCAGGAAGGGCTTTCTTTAATTATTTGACCTGAAAATGCCACACTTTATTTCTAAATACTTTGTGTTAACTCTGAAGCCTCTGTCACACTCCTATTTCCATTATGAGGAGGCTATTATGGGACCAGGAGCACTTTCCATTGACTGCATGGGGTCTCCTGCTATAGAAATTTGACATCTGCTTGGTATTATTATTCCATTAGAGCTGTAAATCTTCATTCTACTGGCTTTCCTGTGGGCTCTGACACATTCCAACTTAGTGACAAACGTCCCTTGAGCCAGCAGTTATTTGACAGGCTGGGAGGTGCTCCTGCAAAGGAACTGACAAATGGTTTCCATGAGAAATTGAAGTACCTCCAGGCAGAATTTCAGCATGAACATTAAGCTGAAAAAGAACCTCTCGCATTCCAGGAGATCTGGGACAATCCAAAAGCTTCCTCCACACTTATGTTCTCATGTGATGTTAGACATTTGCATAAGGAATCAAAGCAGACTGAGGATCACACCAAATCATACCCACAGGTTTCCTCAATCAGTGAAGTAGACTGCAATAAAGGAGCACATTTTTCCCTTCTGAACAATCACAGCTTCCTTTAGTAACAGAAGTGAGAATTCCTACTAGGTTGCATCCAGTCATTCCACTGGAATTTTGAGGCCAAATGAGTTTGCTCCTTGTATGTTTGCCAAACCCCAGCTGACAGCAGAAACAGTCCCCCGTCCAGAGCTTCTACAGGATGTCATGCCAATAACTCTTAGAATTTTGTTGGTGGTCATGATAATAATACAGGCTAATGGCTCCTTTAACTCAAGGATCTTCAAACAGCTTACAGATGTGAATGGAGAACTATAAAATGGATTTTTTCAACCCTACTTTGTAGAGAAATTGTCTGGGCTTTCCAGTGTTCAAGAAATTCATCCTGGCTGAAAGAAATACAACAACTGGAGAGAGATCCCAGGAACTTTATTCCCAGTACTTGTATTAAAGTATTAGATGTGACATCACCTCTTCACAAGATAGGAGCTCATCATTTTGGTGGCTGAGGCTCTCCCCTCTTCAGTGCAAAGATTAATTAATGTAAACTAAACATAGGAAAATAACAGCCAATCCTTTCCCTCCAACTGCAAACATAGAAAAAGCAAATTGTCTTTCTGGGTGTTACTGACATCAGAAGAGTAGTGGTTACAAAAGGCCCTGCATTTTAAACCCCAAACATACATCCCCAAGCTAAATTTATGTTGGCTGACACCATGAACGGGTTTCTCATTCCATATCTATCATCARTACTGACAATGGAATACCCCTGTGGTCTCCTGGCCAAAGGAAAACATGACAATTTCCTTGAAGAATTAATTAGTAATTACAGTCAAAATAAAATAACAAACACAAATCAATGGACTATTCTTAAATCATTTGTACAAACTGCAGATTTTCTTCTGATTTCTTAGTTGTGTTTTACTAATTTTCTAGTCCCTAAGTAATTTCTAGTCCTAAAGAATTAAAAATGTTGTCCCCACAAGTTTCTTATATAAAACTACGCTGTAGTAAACTAACACCTGGGTCAAGATTTTTTATCCAATACAGAGAAGCACGAACTGGCACTTAAGCACAAAATTCTCTCTTCTGTGATTGCCTTTGGGTATTTTTGATCCTCCAGACAGACCAGTGTTGCTGTGTTCGTATTTACAGATACAGGAGCTACAACACTGACTGAAAACCAGTACCTTTGTGCCCTAGGTGGGAAACTGCAGCTTGGAGGGGTAATGTACTGACCTACATYATATGGAACATGTCTACATCTTGTTGCTGACCAACAAATGAGAAACTACTGTCCTACAAGCAGCATTTCATGTGCACAGTGTGCTGTACAAAGCTGCAGGAACCTGGCATCCACAGATGCCAAAGTTCTTCATGACATCTTCTTCTCTCATAACACTTGATTCATTAGTTGTGATTGAATGGTCCTCATCATTTCAGCCCTTATTTCCTGCGTTTTCCACCCATATCCAGCTGGGTAACCAGACCAAGTATAAAGACAAGCTTCTCAGCCAAAGGGTAGATATTGCCATTAGCCMCTGGACATTGTCTCCTACCTCAAGGGAAATGTGATGAATTGATTGCTAATGACACACATAGCACCCATTCCCTCCTATTTCTGCAAAAACACACACGGGCACACACGGACACAGATACTCCACAGGCACAGAGCCTGCTGGACCACAAAAGAAAAGGAATCTTCAAACAAGGCTCCTTCATCTGCAAAGAACAAGCCCTACAAGATTAAGATACGGAGTACCCATTAATCTGGTACCACTCGCAGCTCTCTGTCTTTCCTCATCCGTATCATCTTTAGGAAAGATGATAGAGAATGATCATCTTTAAGTTGCTTTAGGAAAGGCAGAAAAAGCTGCTTTTTCTCCACAGAGAGGAAATAAATGCAGTGCAAGAGGTGCACACAGAGCACTGAGATGCAATTCCCAGCTCTGCCCATAGCAAGGCTCCCTTCACACTGAGAACACACATCAGGGATCATCTGTCTCAGGCAGCCAGTGAGAATGGGAATGTGCATTCAGTCTGTCCCAGGATTAAGAACACCATGATTGTAGTCCTGGCCTTCTTATTCCACAGGCTTCAATACCAGCAGGGAAGCCTGTACTTTTACAGAGTAAGTAATAGATAAGCTTCCTTCAGACTCAGGCAGACAATACCACGCTATTTCCAGTTAGAAGACTTTCTTCACAACAGTGAATGATAGAAACTGCCTTTACAAAAGGTAAACAAATTAAAGTTTATATTGTGTCTCTGCTGAATGAGTCCCATAAATGCATGATGGAAGCCAGCTACAGCCTACAGGGCATATGTTTGACACCTCAGGCCTGTATGGACAGGAAATGGATATAAATAGTTAGTCCCATTTTGGTTCCCTGAAGATATAAATAATCTTGACATAGAGTGCTCAAGCACAAAGAATCATTCGTAGACCACCCAGGAGACTTGCATTTAAATGACCTTCCTTTGCTTGGACAATCAATTAGATTAATGTTTATTTCAAGAGTTGCATCGTTTGTTCTTAAATAGAAGCAGCTCGGAGGAGGCATGTACTTACTTRTTGGTAACTGCCTGCATAAACTCATCAATCAGTTCGTCGTATTGTTTCCCACGAACCCTCTTGTGTTTCAGTCCAATATACAGTGGATCATTCAGGAGAGCCTAGGACACAAAGGAATTCTGTTGACAGTGTCTTTTCCATGCCTGGAGGGAGATTTATGTCCTAGCCTCCCAAAACATTTCTCTATTCTAGTCATCTTAGTTTTACTCATTATGCAGGGAACACTAGTTTACACAGCTCTTCCAGATCACAGGGCAGATCYAAAAGTCTGCTTGTGTTGTAGACTGTGTTGTAGACCTGTTGTGTTGTAGACTGTGATCTTTTGTGGTGACAGTCAGAGGAACTTAGTGATGTTGGATTACAAGAGGAAAAGGAGCTCTGCATCCCCCAAACAGAAACAGTCTACTAGACACTCTACCAAGGTGCGTGTCTCACTCTTAGTGAATAAAGATGACCTTGTGTAGGGAGCACTTGTGGCCCACTCAGTTCTAGAAATGTTCAGCTCTCACTGCAGTGAAGGGTGTTGGCCCAATAGCATCTTGAGCAATGAGGCTCGTCTGAGATAACCTGAAATGATCCATCACTTTGGTCTTTAGGAGATAGTCCAGAGTAGAGCAGARCCAGTAATCAGCTGCTGGAAGGTTCCAATACCCTTTAGCAAGCGCTCAGCACTAGTCATCTACATTTGTCATGGCAGAACTTTTTTTATCCCCAAACAGTTTATTTTTTAGATCCTGCTGTGAATATAAAAAAGGGCCATGGCTCCAGACAATCAACCAGGTGTTAAGTTAAGATTGGTATGTCAAAGGGCTGGCTCAGCATGGAAACAGAGATAACTTGGGGAAAAATCACAGGACAGAGAAAGGCAGGAGACAGGTGGGCCAACACCTTGGTGAGTCACTCCAAAGCCACTAGAGTTCCCTCCTGATTTCAGGAACTGAATTATTGATATGAGAAGAGGACARCCTATCACCAGCACGTTGTCCTCTAGCCATATGTGCTCGAAGGACTGGCAGAACTAAAATTAGRTCAGTTTTTCTAGCCACAGCTGTTTTTCTTTAGCAGGAAAAATGAAAGAGGTTTTCATTTGCATTTGACAMACTAACCTAACTCATCAGGAGCATGAAACAGAAAGTAGACTCATTTGTATTAATTCATTGGTTATTCATATAGCTCCCGGTGTTCTGGCCTCTTTGTGGAGTAGAAGATTTTCTCAGGTGTGCTTGGAAATGTCAGTTTCTTAAAAAGGACTGATTTGTTGAAAGTATACATGAGAGTATTCTAGACTGTCAAAAAGACAAGGTGGGAAGTGCTGTTAAAAATGTAATGAGGCTGCTGTCTTTACTCCATTCTACTCGAGATGCCTGTRTTAGTTGCACTGTCACCCTAGGTTCACTATATATTAGCAGGGAGMTATGAAGAGGATGGGCGCATACTGGAGCTATCTCTGCACTGACGAAATGGTGACGTTAGAATAAACTCACACCAAGAGCATGATGCTGCTTGGTTGTGCTTAGGGTTGGGTGATGCTGGATTTATGCACAGGAGAAAGCCATTAAATGAATTAATTAATCAATTGTATTGTGAAGGAGGCTTATGGTCAAAACTGTCTAGAAACTGTGCTGCTTGTGTTATCTTAATCCCAGCTCTGGAAACTGCTTCCATAGAGAAGTTTCTGGACACATAAATTACATGGGAACTTGGACAACTTGAAAGTGTTCAGAACTTGGAAACTGATCCTGAAAGTCCCTTTCTCTGATACCAGCTACCCTTGAAGTTCAGTGTGAAGTCCCTTGAACTTGTCCAGTGTGCTTCTCTGGATTTGTGTCCCTCAGAAGCACCTGCACCCAGGTCCCTCATGGACTGGCTACTGCACCAACAGGGTACAAGACTTATGGGATCAGAAACAGAAGAGATGGTTGGGACTTCATGCTAAATATCGTCTATGGCTACTGATTTTGCTTRCTTTCTTTTCAAGTGACTAGTGTGAGAGACCTGGGGCTTGAGTGAAAGAGGTGCTGAAAATATAGCTTTGCAGTAGATGTCTGAAAATGTCAAGGAATCATGGAAGCATACAACTTCATATACAAGCTCAAAGCTTTTATATCCCAGATTTGTCATTTCTCTCAAGAAATATGTTTGTTTTACTTAGGGTCAAGAGAGATACAAGTACGTTTTACAGCTGTGGACAAACCCTGGCCACCACATGTGAATATAAGGTATTCATTAAAAAAAAAAAAAAAAATCCTCACAGATGTCCATTCTGGCATTGCTAAAATGCTGCACTTCAGCCTTTCAGAGCCAGAGTCATAAAGCAAAAATCAGCAAACARATGGATGGAGTCCTCCTGTCTGGTTATCGTGTGCAGTGAAGTGTGCAATCTGACAAAACATTGAAATTAATCATTCACAAACTACCCACCAGGGATTCTCCACTTGCTGGAACACAGTCACCTCCACATCGACATGGGCATCTGTCTGTTTCCTCAGAATTACCACAGGAAGAATAAATCTGGATCTTCCTGGCTGAAATCTTTTAACTCACCTTGCCATGCTGAAAGATGGAGCTGACCTATCAGCTCCAACTGGCAATGCTCTGAGTCTTCTCACCAGGGGACTAGGAGGCTATTCAGTGTTTATTTCAGTTCTCCATAAGAACAAAAGCTTCTTGATCGTTAAACAGGAATGCAACCTGGCCACTTCCCCCTGTGCTGGTCTAGCCATCATCTGATCTTGAATGTCTCTGGCTTTGCCTCCACATTTAGGGAACTGACCTCAGAGTTAAGCATCAATCTCAACAATTCCTCCCCCTGTCAGACTCATGAAAAAWTCTACATCTTACCTCATTGTCTGTGCCAACATCCAGCAGGACAGGGAGACACTGTTGTGGRTGAACTCCACCACAAGCCGTGTACAAAGCAAGCTTCCCCACTGGGATACCCATGCCATAACTTCCTAGATCTCCTAATCCGAGGATCCTCTCTCCATCTGTCACCACGATAGCCTAAGAGGATCAAAAGAGACCACTGTATGGTGTTTCCAAGGCTCTAGTAGCAAAATCAACCCCATTGTCTTTATACCAATGCCATTTGCATTTGTGCAATGGATATTTGTTACTTCTACATAATTTATGCCAATATTATTGCCAATCAGCTATTGATGTTATGGGGCTCTTCATTCTGGGGAGGAAATAACATGACTGATGGGTAAGCTGCACTCAGTGTGGGAGTACAGCAGTTCACTAACATTTCAATTCTGTGGTGGCAGAACCATAAGCATGACTCTTTCGGCACTCCCATCYGTACAGTCAAAAGCTGCATCAAAGAGATCTGGCTCTGGTTTTTCCTCTCTTTTGTCATTGGACAACTAGAAAAAGTGTTCTGTGCAAAAACACCTTTGCTCATGAACTACTTATGTGAAAGAAACCAGCACAAGTCTTCACACTCTTGAAGAGCATCTGTAGAGTGGCCAACATCAAAAAATCAAAGCAGAGCTCATTGTAACTGGGTCCTCTTGCCTCTGGTGTCTCTGACAGTAGTAGTGAGATAGCACTGAGTTTGCAAAATAAAATGGGGAGGGCTATAAGGAAAACACTGAGACATTCATAAGGATAGAAGAAATGAATAGTAACCAAAAAAATAGAGAAGGAATTSGTCAATGGTCACTTAGGAGATGTCTACACTGCAGTAAACCTGTGATTGCAAGGCAGATTGAGAGAAGTTTCTTGCCCTGTTAACAGCATGGGCTGTAGAGGGGCYGTTCAAACCCACTGAAGGTATAACCATCAAAATGTCAGTCCTTACAACCTCCTCTCACCTAGACAAGCTCATTTAAAGTCATTGGTCAAGGTTCTTCTCACCAAATGCAGCCATTTACGCTGCAAGTGTCTTTACCTGAGCAAGTTATCCTGTGCTCCTTTTATAGTCAGTAGCGGGAAGAAGAATTTTTTAAGGCATAACGCCACTCATCTCTTTGTTGACACCTAAACCTGATCAGATTTACCCTGCCTCAGAAATACCTGTTTCACTCTACTGACTATAAGCATGGCCTAACAGGGTCTRAGGGAACACTGTTCACATGAAGTGGCTATAGATACTTGTCCAGTTACTGGACAAGTCTCTTACACTATTACTTAATAGTAATACTTAATATTACTATACTTAATATTAAATCTTTTTTTTTCTCACCTAACTGAGAGTTAAACCATTGCCATTTAACTCTGTGTACTAGGCCTTCTGTATTTCATCAATACTGTGATGAGTCACCTCGCTCCGGTCTCTGTCCTATAGATGCCTGCATTCCTCTTTACTGTGTCTTTTCCTTGTGACAAAAGGAAATAAACGCCTGATCAACACTGTCCAACTTAGAAGTCCAAAGCTGAGCTGTGCAGTTCACACTTTACATCATCCTGACTTTCGGAGGCAAAGAACAAGAAGCTCTCACTAAGGTTCACATATTTTAGGTTAACTACTATGTAAGAAAGTTTTGTCCCCAGGGTCAGGCTCTCTTGTGGGCAGCTCTGAAACCCAGTAGGAACAGGAAGATGTTGGAGCCCATTCCCACTGCGGGAGAAAAGCTGTAAATACAATAACAAACCTCAACTTTCAGTGCTGTCACAGCACTTCAGAGAACAGAGCGCTCACATCAAATGGGTCACTGGACTGCGGGTGACTCAAAAGCATAGTCTAGCTTGGATTTCAAAGGAGAAAACTGTGGAGAAGTTCTTTCTCTTCTGATTTGAAAAGTTAAAGCCAAAATTTGGACACACACATGCGTTTGCTTCAGCAAGGAATAAAGAGAATGAGGGATCAGAAGCTCACCAGCACATTTCAGCAGCTGTACTTTCTTTTTGTGGGGAATAATAAAAATATGTTATTTTATCGCTAGGATGGAGAAGCATTTCCTTATTTAGGAATGCAATAAACCCCTTTCTGCATTTTCCTATTTCAATGTCCTTTCCTGTCTATTTCAGTTGATTAAAGGGAGAAACTGTGAAAGGAATTTTGCATCAAGGCTTCATGATAAACAGCCAGATGTKTTTATTTAGCATAAATTATAAACATCTCCCAAGGATACTTTCTGCCTTAAATTAACATAAATTTTGTAACAGGAGAAAAGAATTACATTATACTAGATTGCATAGTTCTGGATTAAGTCTTAGAAGAAATAAAAGATACACAGGGCACTTATGCATCTATTTTGCCTTTTACCTTTGCCTTGCCTTTTAGCAAAAACAAAACAAAACAAAACAAAAAAACCCAAYCAATCAACCAAAACCTCTGGTAGTTTCAGGATTGTATGATGGTATTCGCATGACATATTCCCATATTCCAGGATTGTAATGCACATAATAATAGTGACAATCTATATGCAACAGCAATTATTTTCAAACTGCCCTGCTATATTTAGAATGTCTGCTCTTTTGTTGTTGCTATTTTCTTGTCACTAGGAGTTAGAATTCCCCTAGGGTGGACCTTCCTTGAAAAATCTATTTAAACAAATTTAAACCTATTTAAACTATACACCTATTACTAAGCTAGATGTTGAACATGTCCTTCTGAGGGAGATTCATAACCATGACAGTAAAACTCTTATTCTTTTCCAAAGAGTCTTTTTTGGGACTTTTTTTTTTCCTTCTGAGTCAACGAGAAGTATTAGCCAGTGGGAAAATCTCTCTCTTTTTTTGGGTGGGCTCCATCTGTTTCTGGGTGTGCACTCACTTCTCCACACCCAGAGGATGCATTTGGGAATGGAAGGTTTCCCATTGGAATATGGGAAACGGCATGTGCATGCACTAAGACTGGTTTATCCTGCAACTGATGGAAAAAAAGTCAAAATTCTAACTATGTAAAGAATTTTTTTTTTGAAAAATATTTAAATACATCCTGAAAATGTCTTGATAGCACTTGTAAGCAAATCACAGATAGTACCTTTTGAAGAAAGGTCTTACAGGTCTTAGAATTCTTAGAAGTGCTGCAGTGTAAACGTACCAAAGCCTTCTGAGGTACAGAGCACTTGAAAGACACATGAAAGCAGAAAATTTGTAAAAAAAAAAAAATTTGCTGCTGTGTATTTTGAAGAGAGGGCATTGGATGCACATTTGCTTATAGTCCTTTGCGTTAAAAAAAATTAGAAGTAAAGTTTCAGTGCATACCTGACTGACAACCACATGAAAATAATGCTTTTAATCATCACCACCCAACAAAAGTTGGATGTGCCAAACACTGAGTCCATTTCTAAGCTTCGATAGCTAATGGGGAGGAACAGACATCTCCACAGAATGTCTTCTCCAACCACCACGTGTTTTTGTAACGGATGGAAGATGTTAAATCTCTTGGAAGATGCCCATCCTCCTTTTCATTGACCAGTATGTATCAGAATAACAAGATGAGGTTGAGTGCTAGCCTATAGACAGCTAGCACTAACTGAGATGAGTCCAGACCTTAGACTCTATTTGACCAAGTGCTCTAWGTGAGTAGCTCACTACTGCAGGGCCTAAGGAGGAGCCTTCTGGCCCAGCAGAATATCTGGAGCAATAAGCTCATCTCCAAGCTCCTTGGGCAGTGAAGAGGGGTGAATGTGTCTTGTTACGACTCCCATCTCCCTATATTGGTCACACAAGCTTAAGCTTTCTAGGAAGGACTGATGCCTTGAGCCCACCAGCAGCAAACCGTATGCTCAAGGACAAATCTGAAAGGCTCCATCTGCTTGTGATTCTAAGTGCTGAGTGAGATTCTAAATTCTCAGGATAAACATCCCGTTGAGGTAGAGAGGGTAAGCAGGCCAGTTCCACAGCTTGCAGGGTGACACATTTGTCTGTGGAGAGRAGATAGGGTTTTCTAGGCTCTCATCAGCTTGAGGTGGTTTGAACCCACAGCGCTCATTCTCCAGGACTGGGCCTTATCACAGAACTATCCTGCATGAGCCCCTCCTGTACCTGCATGAGCCCCTGTACCCTGTGCTCTACCTGGGCCACACTGGAGGAAAGAAAGCAAGACTAAGGAATGAGAGAGAAAATCAGCAAGAGAGAGGTGCTGATAAGGACTGTGTGCATTTTATCCAACATCTCCTCATGGCAGGATTCATTAGGAATCCTGGGACAGACATACTGAAACAGAGGGTCACATGAATATGCCTTTCCAGGCAGAAGACCCAGGTCAATCACCCAGATTTCCCATTTCCATGACAAGTGTTGTTGCCATAAGGCTCTAAGGAGCCATGAAGCAAAATGTGGGGCAGTATTTCCACGTATTTCGTCATTGTCTTTAATGAGACTTACTGCTGCCAATGTGTTCAGAGACTGTCTAAAAAAACCTACGTTACTTCAGGGACTTAGGTGCAGTTCAGGTGCCTCCCTACTTATCTCAAAATCACAACAGTGCTCAAGGGCCTACCAGTTTAGGCATGGCAAATTCTGTGTGCAAACATTTATGGAATTCTGAGTTCCATATATGGAATTCTGAAATATGGAATTTCTTTGAAATCTGCAGTCCAAAACAGAAATACTGATGAAATTATTTGCCTCTGTAGTCTGTCAGTTTGGGAAAGTAGAGAGACTGAATCTCTTACATGGATCACTGCACTTCCTATGGTCTGTTTGGAGTGTCTTAACAACAGAGTTTAACCTTTCTGTGCCAGGTTCCCAATTGCAAAAACATCTCTCAGCCATAAGGAGTCTTGCAGACAATCCTGAGTCAGAAAGAACTGGAAATACTGAGATCATTGAACAGAGCAAAGACAAAATACCTAGTCTGCATTTGTTCTCCTTGGTTCCAAAGACAAGCTCACAGGAATATGATTATTTCTTCTGGAAACATGTTAAATATTGTTTATTTTTCTTAGAAATGTTTTCTCGACTTTGTTCCTGGGAGCAACAGCTGACTGATACAAGATTGATTTTCCATCCACAGTCAGGGTAATTCCCTGACACTCTTAATTTAAAACTGATGAAGGAAGTGGTTGGCATGACCTGTCTTTAGTGTTGACTTTATTTCATGCCAGGGACTTGCCTTCCCCTAAGCTTTAGTGAAGAACACTTCAAAAGATCGCTTTTTGGGTGTGGTGTAAATAGCTTTTTCGGCTGCTGGATATCAAAAAGTTTTTGGAAAATTGGCAGTCCAGAGGCTGCATGACTCATCACTTTAGAAATAAGTTTTACAAGCACCAAGTTAGCTATAATAGATATCTTAAGAGCCTCGGTATATCTAAAAGAGTCTCAAGTTAGCCACAAAATTCTTYAATATCCATATCTTTGGTCTTGGTCAGAACTCTGTCCTGCAAAAATTTATTACAATGCATACTCTTTTTATTCATTAAGGTCCTGCTACCTTTGATAAAAAAACATCTCAGAGCTCATACATATTAGAGTCTCTGAGGTTCAATGGAAACTCTTGGCCTGGAATGGCCAGGAAACTCTTTGAGGGAAGGAATATTTCTTATCTTGTCCTTTTAGCCAGTAATTCTGTAAAAACATCACACAGTTCCATTCAGCATCCGATTTTACACCCAGCTCCCTAGAGATTCCCCATCCACAGATGACATGACACATACCTTAATGTTTTCTTCAGGCCAAGAGTTTAGCATTGTTGCAATATGTCCTTTGTCATGAATGGTGATAAACAACCCCCTAGGAAAGAAAAAAGAAACTTTGTAATAAAATCAGTAACTCAGATAAAATAAAAACTTGAAAATACAGGGAAAAAAGCTACTGAGAACAAACAAAAAGCTACTGAGATCATTCACTGGCATTTAAATAAGACTTCTGGGGACAGCTAATACCAAGTTCAGTTTTCATTTCAGAACAGCAAGGCTCAAGATCCATAATGGCAGCTTCTTTCACAGTCTGGTATTGCACATTCCACCATTGCAAAATTTATTTTGGGAAGTAAATCAGACTTTTTTTGTTAAAGATTTGTTAAAATTTATTTTTTGTTTAATATCTCTGCTAAATACAAGAGAGGCTGATGATTTTGCTTAAAATTTTCTTATARTCTCTTACACACACAGAAAAAACCTTATAGCTGGCTGTTCAAACAGTGTAAGTTTGTTCTTCTCATCCAGGTAATGATGTTAATCATGGGATGACTACTTCAGAGCTAGTCTTCCCTCTTTAGTGGAAAGAATTTTGAATGTTTCTAAGCCCTTCCAGAGTCTGATCATCTGACCTGTTTTAGATGTCTACCCAGAATRAGCTGAATCATGTTCCAGAAACCTCTGTTTCAACAGATTATACAGGGAGTCTAGACAATTTATTTGGATATTAACAATACTGTATAGAACTAAAGTTAGAGCCAACCTGAACAGGTTCCTGATGAGGTGTAGTAGTCTCATAAGCAGGACACCACTCCGGGACTGAGGAGCTCTTGTCAAGCCTTTGCCATATTATGCCGTAGATCTTAGAGAAGGCAATTTAGCTCCTTAAAACTGTCTCCCYTCTTGCTCTCAGTCTTCAGGGACTATAAACATTTCAAGGAAAGCTTATCTCACTCTGATCATCTTGCCTGGACTCTGCAAGTAGCTGTGGGCTTGGGCTTATGTCTGTAGATACCCATATAAGGATGTAAGATAATGGAGACATTAGTTGTCCCTCACAGAGGTTTGATATGCATATGTAACTTCATTCAGTAACTCTACACTATACCTCACTTGGCATTAAAATCAGTGTTGACTAGTGCAAAGCAATCCCCATATGTCCCCTCTGCAATATGAGCATTTGGATCAATATTTGCCACAGCATTTACCTCGACCAAAAAAAAAATTGTCTTTATAACATCTTTTTTTTCTACATGATTATCTGATCCAAGTTTTTGAAACCCGATTTCCCTGATGAAAAACACCCCGAAATATGAGAAGTGAAACAGAAGGAATAGGATGGAGCTTCAGTAGGAAACATTTGCAGTAACATTTGCGGTAACAGTGGCGTACCTGACCATGTTAAGGCTAAACTCTTCTCAAAACAAAGGTCGTCACTATCTAAAGAAAATGCCATCTTTTTAAGAAAATTAGGGCCTGGAAGACCCTGGAAGACCCTGGAAGTCTTACAATACATTTATGACCAGCAGCTTATTTTTCTCCTTTTGCTATTATATTCAAAAATAGTATCCTTACCTTACTATACTGTAGTATACTTCCAATCCCAGGATAATATTATTCACATTGACTAATCTCTGCTTGGGTGTTTTGGCATTATAAGCCCCATTTTGGTAGCAAACAAATTTTGGCTTCTCCTAAGTGAAGACATCCCTCATATGACCCTGCTAGGAGGGCAAATATCTTCCCAGAGTCATCTGTGGGATCTTGATGAAAAAGCTCAGTTTTGAAAAGAAGATAAATAAAACAGTGCTGACTTCTACATTAATGGCTTCAACACAGAGAAAGATCAGAATTGCAAGAAAAGGAAAATATTGCTCCATTAATTCAGCATACTTCTTTAAAACTGCCTAGTAATCAACAAGTTAATCATATACATATGGCCTAACTCTGAGATATGATTCACAGGTGCTAATCTCCATAAAAAAAGGAGGTACTATGCTGTTACCTTCTGCATTCAGCGAGGACTCAACAGCCAGAGATTAAAAGCACAAAGTATCTGAAAGATACCCCATGCTTGCAGCAGAAACTGAGCCCCAGCTCTCTAACCATCACCTGTCCTGCTCCTTGATGAACACTCACATATTTCAGATAAAGCAAAAATGACAAATACCCAGTGCTTCAAAAGAGCCCTCGGCTCTGAGGGCTGTCTCAGGACAGCTGCAGGCTGCTTTCCAACCCCCTCCACAGATCTGTGAGAAGAGACATTGTAATCTGGTCTTCCAAAATCTGCTGACAGCTCTCATTATGTTGCCTGGAAGAAGACACTTGCTACTACCACCATAATATGTTTTGCCTGAAAATGCACTGCCTTGACTTAAAATAGACAAATCCAAGTTGGCAGCTGCTAAACAAGAAAAAAAGTGATATCACTTTCAGAATCTGTGGTCCCTTTAAAATTATTTTTATTTGRTATGAATTTAATATTATTTTACTTCTGTAAATCCTTTTCTGCAAAGAAAATGGATGTGGACACACATTTGCTCTCCAATCAGGCGATGGACAAGGTACCAGTCCTAGCACCTGATCTCTGCTGCCAGAAGATGGAGGACTTTGAATGAAAAATGACTCCCTCCTTTTACTCTAGACAAAAGGAGAAGTCTTAATTTAGATGAACTTGTAACGCACTACTGGCACTGCCTGCTTTGGAAGGTCAACGCTGTTTTGGCCACTGCATATCTTCATTCTCCACAGAGAAGAAGCTGTTTTCATAGTTATCTGTACCAAGCACACAAGCAAACAGGTAAAAATACAAGAAAAAAAGCTTAGTAAAAAATAACTACCCTACCAGTGTCAAGCCAGGATGTGCAAACTGTGCAAAACCACTTCAGGCTAAATAGAAACTTGAGTGAGTAGTTATCTTTGCAGGGGTAACATGGGGCGGGGAGTGCTCCAACTTGCATTCATGAGRGGTTTCAGAGCTTTGTCCATTTGGTCATTTCCTTAAAATCACTGTTTCATTACAGACCTCCTTAATTATGGTGGAAGCTAGACTAGATGTTAATGCACCCATTAGCAGGTCTATAAGGATTCAGGGACTTTCAAGGACTGTTATGGCTTCTTAGGTCATTACTGGCCTGGTATTTCTGTGTGGGTTTCAGCAACTTAGTCAGTCTGTCTCAGTCAGACTGCAGGATTTGGCAGGTTGCAGATCATGACTGCAAATCTGCCAAASGGGTTGGATATGTTCACCTAAACCCCACAGGACCATTTCCCATCCCTAACCCAGGGCCATTTTCTTTCTGCTTTTGGTTTTGTTCCAGCTGAATTCATGGAAGTGTTCCAGGAATAAATTACCAATCTCTACAGTTTATCATGTGAGCCACTGGAAAAATCCTGTGCTTGTGCTCAGCACCCATTAAATACTGGCCATGCTGATGACATTGTAAAAGACCCAAAATGAAGACAATGCCAGAATTGCAATGCTCAGATTAGAAAGCATTAAGGGACAAGGGAGACTGAGGAGGAGATGCTCAGAGGAGGAAATGACAGAAGATGGTAACAGCTTTTAGGAGTAATGTTCATTTCTTGCAGACATTTGGGAAGGAGCAAGTTCTAACATGTCTCATTTCTTAAGAAACAAAATTATTCTTGTATGCTTTCAATCAGTGAGAAGCTGCTTCTCTTAAAAGAGAAAGCCTTTTGATCTCCCTGTTTAGCAGCTCTGCCTTGTAAGCCATTTTCATTTAGAAGATCCAATATATGATGGAGACAGGTTGTGTTTATTTACTGAGAAAGTTGAAAAACTATTTCGCCCCACCCGAAAAAAAAACCCATAAATCCAAGACAACAAGGAAAGATTGCAGCCCTGCTCCTTGTAGCCCCAAATCTCTTGTAACTTCTTTCCTACCAAAAGCCTCTCTCTCCCTAATAGCTTTTCCTTCATGTCCCAATAACCAGACCTTTTGTGGCTGCATTTCCAACCCTCTCGGGTGCTGCCTCTACCCACTTTTCTAGCCTGCTGTTTCATCTGGCATGCAACCAAACAATAACCCAATCCAAGCCATGCCTTAGTCTCCGTGTTTGCCTAATCAGGCTCCAAGAAAACATCCTTGACCACGCTTCTATGTTCTTCTTAATCTTGCCTTGTGCTGTGGTTTCGGGTAGCAAACCACAGSTTCAGTTGCCTGGTTGCATCCATACACTTAATGGCCTCTTTACACTTACCAGGTGTACAGGCAGCAAGAATATCTACCAGCTTTACCATCTGTCTGATAACCACAGAAGAACAGAACAGATGTTAGCACCAGTTCAGTGATTTGTACACTATCATGAAGGAAAAGGACCCTAATCCTTGCCTCACATGAGTTTCCCTCACTGGATCAGATATAGAATCATAGCCAATGGTTATGACCATAACTACACCCTGCAGAGGAAAAGAGGAACTGCTAGAAGGATCACAAAAGATCCTAAATTGWCAGGACTTTGTTGTGAAAAGTGCAGCAAACTTTTGTCTGACCTAGTTGCACCTTTCTTCCTCTCTCTCCACCAAGCCTATTCTCAGAAGAGAAAGATGCTTGTTCACTGAGGGAAGGAGGTTTTTGGTATGGCATTATCTGATATTTGCATATAATGTAATGTTCAGATTTGCTCAGGTTTTTGTATCTAGAAAGATGAACGCAAAAAAATCACAGCCCCACATTTGGTTTTTATTTATTTTCATTCTCAAGATGCATACACAAATATGACAGGTTGAGCAACACGAACCTCTAGAGGCATTTCCACCAGCTGCACCYCTGTTGTTGATTTTTTGGGTTCTAATCTCTGCCAGAAGAGAGTAAGAGGCTTTAAAATAACAAAACAAGCTTTGAAATTTKTTTGTCTCTTTTAGGAGCTTGAGTTTCTAAATGCCTCTGGGCTACAGCCTTTGGAGAGAAAGTATGTCCTAGCATGCACTGATTTGTCTAAATACAGAACAACTAATCACCACATTGGGCAGGATCACTTTGTTGATCCATCAGCTGTATTTMCAGATTTGTTTAAAATAAAAGCCAAGAAAATTTTGTTATGTTACATAATTTTCTCTGTAAACTATAG